CGTCCTCCCCCAAAACCACGCCCGTCCCCATCACTCCCCCCTGTAAACCCTCTCACTGTCCCGCACCATCACCCCGTCAACGCTCCCACTGTCCGCACTCCCGTGAATCCTCCCCCGCCCCGTTCCCTCGCTCCTCCATCTCCCCCTCTCCTCCCTTCCAGGCCCTGCCCTCATTCTCTCTCCCCACCTCCGCTGTCACTCACCAGTCCCAATGCTGCCTTGTAAACTGGGGAGATCGAGAGATCAGCACACTTGACCTCCCAGACCTGACCCGCATCGAACCAGTGGTCAGGCTCAGCCAAGTGGTCCCAGCGATAGTAGGGGCGAGGGCCCTCGATGACGTGGTCCTGCGTTTGGGAAGGGGGAGGGGCAACAGACAGCTTAGACCGACATAACAGTCCCTTGTGATACAGGAAGCAACCATCAGTGACTTTAACCCGGGTATAAAGGTGGCAAGATCAGATTGGCAGCAGTGTGGAGAGGGAGAAGGATGGGTCTAAGACTGGTGTTCTAAACGTAAACAGGGCCAACTCTGCGGTCATGAAAGCTTTGTCGGCGGTGGTGAGCCGATTAGGACGGCACAGTGGTTAGCACTGATGCCTCACAGCGCCAGGGTCCTGGGTTTGACACCACGCACCCCACCCCCCCCCACCCTTCCCATCCTCGGGTGACTGTCTGTGTGGAGTTTGCACATTCTCCCCCGTGTCTGCGTGGGTTCCCTCCCACAGTCCAGAGATGTGCAGGTTAGGGCAGATCGGCTGTGGGGAATTACCCTGTAGCGCCCAGGGACGTGCAGGTTGGGTGGTTTAGCCGCATGAATCATAGGGTGACAGGGATAGGGTAGGGAGCAGTGGGAACTGGGTGGGATGCTGTTCAGAAGTTCGGTGTGGACTCGATGGGCTGAATGGCCTCCTACCACACTGTAGGGATTCTACGAATCTATTCTCTATGACGTACCAGACCAGGAGATAGATCAATACAGACACACACACACACAAAAATACAAAGAGAGAGACACAGAGAGACAGAAAGAGAGAGACAGAGAGAGAGATAGAGAGAGAGTGACAGAGAAGGAGAGAGAGGCAGGGGGGAGAGAGAGAGAGACAGTGAGACAGTGACAGCAAGAGAAACAGAGAGACGAGACAGAGAGAGTGAGAGATAGAGAGAGAGAGCGATAGAGAAGAGGAGGAAAGAGAGAGAGAGGCAGAGAGCATGAGACAGAGTGAGCGAGACAGAGACAGCAACAGACAGATACAGGGAGAGAGAGCAAAAGGCAGAGAGTGACACAGAGGGCGCAAGGCAGAGAATGAGTGAGAGCGAGAGAGAGAGAGACAGATAGAGAGAGAGAGAGAGGGTGAGAAACAGGGATAGAGAGAGAATGGAGAGGTAATAGCAGATGAAAAAACTCACGGACCAATGTTTTGCTTCCAAAAAAACCATTCCAGGAGGTGGGAGGAGAGAGGGGATGAGGGGGATTTTAAACCATCAGTGAAGCGATACTGAACGAAACGGTGGAACCATGGCCAGGCACAGGCTTGGAGTCCAATCACATTTCATCTTCGGGCACATAGGAGCTTGTATTGAGGAGGGGGGCTGAATGGCCTCCTGTTCCTGTGTAACAGGCTGGAGGAGGGGGGTGCTGAATGGCCTCCTGTTCCTGTCTAACAGGCTGGCAGAGGGGAGGGGGGAGCTGAATGGCCTCACACTCCTGTATTCAGTGATCTCCTGATCCTTACCCTCTCGGTTTCAGTCCTCACCTTGAAGAATTTTGCGTGTTGGTCCAGCTCCTCATCTTTGAACCCAGTCCCAATCTGCAGAGAGACAGAGAGAAAGAGAGAGAGGGGGGGGTTCAGTTTGCTAATCGTTGGGAGACAGTCTAAGGGAGGCGAGGGGGCACGATATGACACTTTCATCGGAGCGACAGGGATGGGGGGGGAACAGTGAAGGGGATGCCTAGAGAGGGGGCACGAGATCGAGGGAGACAGAGAAGGAGACAGAGAGATTCAGAGCAAGACAGAGAGAGAGAAGGGGAGGGAGAGAGAGAGAGAGAGAGAGAGAGACACAGAGGGAAGGAAGAGGCAGAGGCAGGGAGAGCAACAGAAGGAGAGTGCAAGCGACTTGCGGGGGTTGGGGGGGGAAGAAGGAGGGAGGCTAACGCACAGCGGGAGAGGGTGACACAGGGAGGGAGACAGAGGGAAGGAGACAGAGATAGAGACATCCAGACAGAGGGAGAGACAGACAGAGGGAGGGAGAGAGAGACAGAGAGATGGTGGAGGGTGGACATGGGGGGAAGAGAGGGTGGGAGAGATAGAGAGTGAGGGCGAGAGAGAGAGACAGAGGGAGGGAGAGAGAGAGACAGACAGACAGAGGGTGGGGGGGAGAGAGAGAGAGAGAGGGTAGGAGAGAGAGAGAGAGACAAATGGTGGGATAGAGAGAGAGGGTGGGAGAGGGAGAGAGAGGGTGGGAGAGGGAGACAGAGAGAGAGAAAGAGGGTGGGAGAGGGTGACAGAGAGAGAGAGTGTGTGTGAGAGAGAGAGAGAGAGTGTGTGGGGGAGAGCGTGCGTGGGTGGGGGGGAGAGAGGGAGAGAGACAGAGGGTGGGGGGGGAGAGAGAGAGAGGGTGGGAGAGAGAGACAGAAAGAAAGGGAGAGTACAGGAGTGGGTATGGATGTGTGTCAGGGACAATGACTGAGTGAGTGAAGCAATGGTGGTAGCACCTGGACCCTCCCTCACAGCGTGGAGATCAGAGCCACGGAAGAGGAGTCAGTAATCTCCGACAGGACACAACCGTCTGACTGAGCCCACACCCCTGGCCCTCAGGCTATAAGCCTCACCTTACAGATGGTCTGAAACTCCTCAGTGTCCTCTTCGTAACAGGCCAGGAGGAAACCCCCGTACAGCCCAGTCCGCTTACCCCTGCCATGGTACGCTCCAATAACCACCAGGTCCAGGGTATCACCAACACCATCGAGGTAATCTTTCTTTAACTGGGCGGAAAGAGGGAGACACACACACACAGTTTGTTTAACGGAGTGAGAGAGAGGGAGAGAAAGACACACACAATTTGTTCTGGAGGGGGAGAAAGAGAGGGGGGGAGCGGAAACACAGAGAGAGAGAGAGAGAGAGAG